TCAAATCAATCCTGAGTAAATGCATAATATGCAAAAAATATAATGTATGTCCTGGACAACAAGTCACTGCACCTCTTCCAGCGGATAGAGTTAATGAATCTCACCTTTCGCAATTTGTGGACTCGATTTTGCAGGTCCTTTGTATGTAAAAGAAAATGACAACAAATACTACATTTTATTGTTTACTTGCGCTACTACAAGAGCTATTCACCTGAGCTCGTAAAAGGCATGAGCACTGAAGAATTTTTACTTGCGTTCCGCAGGTTCGTATCCCGAAGAGGTTTGTGTCCACTGTGTACTCGGACAATGCTAGAACATTTAAAAGAGCCGAACTGAATTAAGCAAATGTGGAAAGTGATTAACCACCCCCTGAAGTTAAAAAATTTTATGCTTCGCATGGAATCACACGGAAATACATTGTGGAACGTGCTGCCTGGTGGGGCGGTTTTTATGAACGTTTAGTTCGCAGTGTAAAAACTAGTTTAAGAAAGAACATTGGGAAATCATCTTTGACTCAAAGTGAATTAGAAACGCTTTTGCTTGAAATAGAAGCGACGATAAACTCGCGTCCATTAACATACGTCTTTTCTGATCTTGAAGAGCCCTCCGCACTTACTCCAGCCCACCTGTTGATTGGTAAACGACTCTTGAGTTTGCCAGCTGTAAGGAGGAATGACTTGAATTTACCAGGTTCCAGAGAAGTAATGTTAAAACGTTTCCGTACACGAGAAAATCTAATAAATCACTTTTGGAACAGATGGAAAAAAGAATATCTCCTGTGCTTGAGATCTGCTCATTATACCGGTCAGAAGAAACCATCTGCATTCAACGCAAATGATATAGTACTTGTTCATGATGAAAATTTACCTAGAAGCTGGTGGAAATTAGGAAGAATAACCAAAACCTTTATTGGTAGAGATGGAATGATCAGATCGTGTGAAGTGAAAACTGGTAATTCGGTAATCAAACGTCCAGTGCAGCTATTGTACAATTTAGAAATTGATGATATCAGTAATTGCAATAATCAGTGACTGGTCAAAAAAAAATTTGGACTGAATGACTGATAAACTGATGATAGACAAAAAAAAAATGTTCTTTTTCATAATGTTTTCATTTGTTCATTTTATTATTTTCCTTGGTGTAATGATTTGTGGTGATCTTGAGAAATGTTAATTTAAATGTTTTGTTTTTTTTCTATAGTTTCAGAAAAAAAATTTTCTTGGTGTTAAGAAATTATTGATATAATGTGACCTGTATATGTAAGTAATTTTTATTTGTTTCTTATTGTTATAGTAATATTGTAATGGTTAGTTAAATTTGTGATGAACCTATTGTTCATCGGGGGGGGAGTTTGTTGAAATTATTTCTTTTTCCCTCCGATGGAGCGAATTTTTCTTTTATTATTTATCGTCTGTCGCCGACTAGGTCACGTGACTGGCGGCAGAGAAAGAATGTAATAACTCTTTTAGTTAAGCTTGAGTGTGATGCTTGTAATGATCTGTTCTTGGCCGCATAGCGGTAATCAACAATTATAATAATTGTTCTTGATAAACTAATCTTGGCCCTATGATGGGAAAATTTATATTATATGTATATTTTGTGCTTTCAATAATGTAAATAATGTACATAAGCTCTTCATTAAATGTTTCTGTGTTTCAACTGGAAGTTCTTATTTTCAAGTTGAGTCTACGTGAAAATGGTATATTGATTCTTGATTATACTAGTATATTCTTGACTAATTTGATGTTCTCCCAACTCGTGAAAAATAGAATCGTGACAAGTTTTTATACAGATCCTTTACATATTAGTAAATATATATCGGAAATTCTATTTGACATAATCGAAAGTTTAAGCTTACATTTACAAAATTGCTCTAACAGTCTGCAAAAAATAATAAGCCGAATCCAATTCGAAGATTAAGGAACAATGCAATCTGCAACATTAACTGAATTAGATAATTTTAGCTTAGCTTATATCACTACACATTAAACGCGTATGCGCACACGCATATTCGCAGTCGTAAAGGTCTTATGTGTACTCGTAAACATCTGCACGCATGTGTGAATGCGACGCATGCGCAGAAAGTTTGTGGCTTTGAGGTCCGGATTATAGATCATTCCGGATTATGGGTGTCCGAATTAACGACTTTTGACTGTACTGTGTTTTTGTAATTGTATATTCAATATGTAAGTCTAGAATTAATGTAAAGTTTCTATGTAAATGTCTTGTTAGGCTGGCATCTGATATAGGCCAACTGAACACCCAGCAGATACAGTAGTGTGGTGGAGCAATACCTGTAAAAGTCACTGACGAAGTCCTGGTGCTCCGTCCACTTTTTCCTGTCTCTGTTCATGTGCTGTGCACCATCTTGCCCTCTACTAGGATCGACATTGGGTGCCAGAATCATAGTGCATGTTGGCAACTTTCACCAAGATTAAGACCCTCACATGGGGGTACCAGCAGCCTCAATAGGGGATGTTTCCTTCATGATGTTCAACACCACAATGGTGTCAGCACCCGTGTTCCTTTATGCCCCGGTATCGTTAACCTCGGCGAATGATGGGCAAAATGAAAAAGGTATCAGGACCTTTTTTTTTTTTTTTAATTTGTAAATGCTGGTTAGACCAATCCCTTCGCACCCTGCCGCAGACTCAAAATTCAGAAGCTGCATTGTGATCTAACATTTTCAAATAACTTGGAATTAATTTATGTTACAGACCTTTCCTGGCAACTCCAAGGTTGAAAACTAGGTTGAATTAATTTATGTTGGGTGAAAGAATTCCTCACTTAATTTAGGTGATATTAAGTAAAAAGCACAGCACAAGATTTTGCCAAGTAATTTCTGTGATTTAATCAAAAGTGAAAGAATACTTTATCTCTACATGATTGATGATAACTAGAGGTTCTTACAGAAGACATCTCTAACTAAGATGAAAATTACACTTTTAAAAACTTTTTTATATATTGTTGCAAGCTACAAAATCACAATTATTATTATTATTATTATTATTATTTTACAATAAGTCCAGAAAAGCTAGAAGAAATAAACAATTTATTAGGAAAATAAGCCCAGTTAATAACACACGCAGCACCATAATGGCTATAAATTACTCAATAATGCATAAAGTTCAGAAAATCCTGAAATAAAGTCAGCAAGTTAGGGAGAAATCACCAAAATGTCGCACAAAATTGTCTATCTCAAGTTTTAACTGAGAGCTATTTTTACAATTCCAAAGCCACTGCACTCAAAATTTAAAGATCTACAATTCTATGCAACAAACAAATACTTAAATACAAACCATGTGGCCACAAAATAAAACATAAAATTATTATAAAAACAATAAATAAACTTTCTTAATTAAGTGTTCACTTTTTCCTACTTATTATTCAAAGAACAGTCACTTGTAACAATATTTCTTCAATTAAATTCATTTGAATTTCAATGGAAACATTTGGGAAAGAAACATAGAACCTTAGAAACCTAACAAAAATTTTGGTAATTGTGTAGCATGTGATCTACCGCTTGTAGTTAGTTATTTAATTCTTAAATAGTGTGTGGCATTCCTCTCTTTTATCTAACAACTAAATGTGGAGTAACTTAGTGAACAGCTAAGCGAATAATCGCTTAAGTTCAATAACAGAAAAGTAAAGCTCAAGAAGAGTTAATTATCCTTTATTGTTCAAAATAAAGATATACAGTTGGACCCATTCTCAGGATGTACAGCAAAGCTCTCCACTTGGGCTTAAACTCAAAAGTGTAAAAAATAAGAACTTAACTAATGCTTAACTAAAGAGATGTAGCCGAAGTTAACACAAATCTAACTAGTTGGCCCCTAAATATAGAATTAGCTAGCAAAGCTATGTAGGGCTCGTAATACGGCCAAGCATAGTAACAGCTTAGAGAAATGTGGCCAAAAAGCAAACTCATGCAAGTCAGAAACTCTGATTCTCTCTCCTAGAGTCAGTGGAACTTCGACTTAAATACTACTACCTACACATTTGGATTAAACGCAATTCTGGATTAAACACAATACACATTCTGGTAGAGATATTTAAAAGGAAAAATTGACAGTTTTTTTTTTATTATTTTTATTACGATTATTTGCAGTGTTAAACCAGGTGGAGCAAAATAAAGTGATACAAAGTATTATGAAAGCGAAAGACATTCTCAATAAAAGATAAAATTCAAATCTTAATGAATTTGATGAGAATACTGGTTTGTGAAAGTCAAGATAGAAAAAAAAATTAAACTTAATATTCTTGTACAGAAAGAACAGAAGCAGAAATATTTGGACAGCCGGCTTCAAAGAAATTGCGTGTTCAAGATGGAACGTTTCCTGAGGTCGATGCCATTTTGCTAAATTTTTCATTCAGTGTCATGCACCAATATTCCAGTGAATGGTCCCATTTAATTGAGATGTCAAAAGAAATAGCACTTCGACTGAATAGGTTGCTTTTCAGCTGGATGGCTGCATAAATTTAAACTGTTCAATGAAATCTCATGTCATATAATAAATGGAGAACCAGTGTGTGGAGTTCCTCCCTTTTATCTAATGACTGAGTGTGCAGGAACCTAGTGAACAGCTAAGCAAATAATCGCTTAAGTTCAGTAACAGAAACGTAAAGCTCAAGAAGGGTTAATTACCCTTTATTGCTCAAAATAAGAATTGAACAGTCACCTCCTTTCTCAGAGCGTACAGCAAAGTCTCCACTTGGGCTTGAACTAAAACTGTAAGAAATAAAACTCAACTAATGCTTAGCTAAAGAAGATATAGTCGAAGCTATCACAATTCTAAGTAGTGGCCCCTAAATATCGAAATAAGCTGAGCGAAGCTATCAAGGGTCTGTAATACGGCCGCACGTAGTAACAGCTTAGAAAGAGACGTAGCCAAAAGGCGACTCGAGCTTATCAGAAAATGGCTGTCTAACGAAGTCAGCGGAATTTCGACCTAAATACTACTCCTACTCATTTGCATTAAACTTGATTCTAAAAACACAATCTGGCAGGATATTGTAAGCTGAAATTAGGATGGATGGGAAAGGAGCTTTAACTTAAAAATAGCTGTTAAAAACTTAGGATAAATCTTGCAGGTGTAACCCAGCTTTCACAGATGCTCTCTCTTGAAAGCAGTGTAATTTCGACCTAAATACTACTCTTACTCATTTGCATTAACCTTGATTCTAAAAACACAATCTGGCAGGATATTGTAAGCTGAAATTAGGATGGATGGGAAAGGAGCTTAAAAATAACTGTTAAAAACTAAGGATAAATCTTGCAGGTGTAACCCAGCTTTCACTGTATACGAACGTAAGTTACTTACAGACTGCATTGGAGCTGCAGATATTATTGTGGGTTGAGCTCCTTTGTTTTCCACAGCCTTTCCTTGCAATTGTAAACTGATTCCAGCAGGAGCACCACCAATACTTTGGATAGTGGGCTGAAGAGTTAAATTTCCTGGAAGAAACATGTGTTGCTGCTGAGGGGCATATAGATGCTGCAAGTACTGGCTTTGAATTGGCTGCTGAATAACCTGAACCTGGAGAAAATAATTTATAAAAAGATCAATATATTTTGCAATTAAAAATAATCGAACTAACAGATTTAAAATTTTCCTTCCAACTATTTACTATAACAAGTATGTTATCTTTGATTTAAATATTATGTCTTGATTTTGTATATATACGAGGGCTATCCAGAAAGTAGATTACGTTTTGGAATAAAAAAATAAACAAAGTATAGGAAACAATTTTATTATATAAGATGAAAGCACACTCAATACTACTTTTCTACATAGTCACCATACAAATTAAGGCATTTATCGTAGCGATGTACGAGCTTGGAATTCCTTCGTCGAAAATTCGGCCGCCTGCGCCTCCAACCACTTCGTTACCTCTTCTTGCCTTCCATCTTGCACAAAACTTGTGGTAACCAAGCTTCGCTGATGATTTCGTGCACAAACTTCGCGAAATTTGTGGAAAACTCAAAGAAAGTTCCGTTATTGTGAAATTTCGATTTTCACGGACTTTAGCATCGACTTTTTCGAGAAGTTTGGCGGTCACTATGCTGGTCTCCACTTCGATCTTCGTCGTGAACATTGGTTCGGCCATTTTGAAATCTTATGACCCACTGACGCACTCACCTTCATGATAATGTTGTCCCCATACACTTCACGAACTGCCGATAGATTTCTATCGGTTTACAGTTTTTTGCAGTCAGAAACCTTATTACTGAGCGCACCTCGCAGCTCGCGGGATTTTCAATTAACGCAGACATTTCAAACGTCACAGTATCTAACGGAGCACAGACGAACCTCTCACTAGCACGGCTATGCAGCTGAGCTGCGCAACGCTCTGACCCCAAGATGGCCGCGTAGCCCCGCCCTAGCGGACACAGACGAACGTAATCTACTTCCTGGATGGCCTCGTATATATAATATGTGTATGATCTAAATTCATTTAGTGCGAAAACCAAATTACTACTACTTGCGCAATTGCGCAAGTTAGTTAATAATGATTTATTTCCTAAACAATATTGTTTGATTGATTATATTATCTCCAGTTAATAAAGTAGAATGATTTTAAAGTGAATCCATCTGGTAAGTATATTTGAAAGATGTTTTGAAGTAATTTGAAAGCAAAAGTTAATAATGTTTTAACGGGGACTGGAGTTAAATCATCATATATTACATATATAAGAAAGAAATTTAGAACCAATTTTTCATGAAGATCAAGTATGAAATTCAAATGAATTTTAAAAAATCCTATAAATGTAGAATTACAGTTATTTTAAAATATAAAAATTAAAATAAATCATCACAATAAAAACCAAAAAGAATATAAAATAACAAGAAAGGAAAATCCAATCAACTTGTCAAATTTAATTATGTTAACAAATCATAATTAAATTCGAAATATATTAGATACAGAATTTCCGATAAAAAATATACTGAAATGCTTCAGTTATTTTTTTTACTGAATTTGTTAATAATAATGAATTATTATTCACAAAATTCTTGTTAATAATAATGAATTATTATTCACAAATTCTTGCAAAAATTCTTAGAAGGATTATAATAATGAATTATTATTAACAAATCAAATGTCGAATTTAATTACAATTCCCCTTCCAAAACAAAATCCTTGCATTTCTGTATCCAGAATTAGCTGATGAAGCATTTCAGTATATTTTTTATTTTAATAATCCACCTGGATTCCTCTTCTTTCTTGATCTATTCTTTTTTGCTTTTCTTTTGATGTTTTATTTTTTAATTTTTACATTTTTAAATAATTCTAATTCTGCATTAATAGGATTTTTTGACATGCACTTAAATTTCAAATCTTTGGTCTTTGTGAAAAATTGGTTTTAAATTTCTTTCCTTATATAATTACTGATCAACTTTCAGCGACACAATGTGAAAAAATTCTTGGAAGGATTATAATTTTCCTTTTAAAACATTATCTGCATTTCTATACACATATACAAAAGCAAAAAATAAAAATTAAATCAAGAAATATGTTATAAAATTAATTTTAAATATTGAAAATTCCTTCGTCTTTCTTAAGCAGCAGCAAAGAATTTTTCAAGAAAGAATCATGTCACTGAATTATATAAGGATGATGTGAATTCTTCAAATAATCAGAAGAAAATTTTAAATTATTTAAATCAAAAATGCAATTAAAGTTGAATTTTAAAAATATTCATTATTTTAATTAATAATTAAAATAAATTAATAATTTTCAAAATTAATTAATAATATTCAAATAATTTTAATCATCAAGATATCATCTGCTGACACGTCCCAAAATAAAATTTTAAAATTATTCCAGCGATAAACATTATAAAATTATCTCGAGTAAGAAACTGATTATCTCGAGAATAACCATTGGGTAAATCAAATGCAATGTGCTAAATAAACATAAATTAAATTTTGAATCAAAGGAAAAGCAGAACTATTAAAAGCTTTACAAATCAAAGCAACTTTTGTAAAATAAAAGCAAAAATACTAAGTCAAAATTTTGATTAAATGAATTTATTCAGAAAAATTAACCAAAAGTAAAATAAGGATTCAAAGCGAAATTCAAATAAAAGTAAGGATTCAAAATAATAATTAATAGAGTAAAGTTTCCAAATTGGGGGGACAGCGGGCATTTGCTTATAACTGCATTGGCCACTCCTAAGGCCAGAAGTGGTGGCCATCATTGTGGAAGCACCATTACCTCTTATGAGAGCACAGACAATTTTACATCCATGCCTTCTCAGGGATTCGAACCCGGGCCCTTCGGTAACACAATCAGGCTTCCCTAACCACTATACTGTCTAGTGGGCTGGGGGGGATACATAAAAATAGAAAAAGGCATTACAGTCAAAAGTCGTTAATTCGGACACCCATAATCCGGACCTCAAAACTACAAACTTTCTGCCCATGCGTCGCGTTCACGCATGCGCACGGGCGTTTAAGAGTGCACGTAAGACCTTTACGTCTGCGAATATGTTGTGCGCATGCGCGTTTAATGTATAACGGAGGTATAAGCTAAGCTAAAATTATCTAATAATCTATTTCAGTTAATGTTGCCGATTGCGTTGTTCCTTAATCTTCTAATTGGATACGGCTTATTATTTTTTGAAGACTGTTAGAGCAATTTCATAAAAGTAAGCTTGAACTTTCGATTATGTCAAATAGAATTTCCGATATATATTTACTAATATGTAATTTGTATCTACAAAGCGAAAGTATGTTTGAAATCCGAAATATGTTTACAATTCATGCGGGGATTGGAAGTTGATCTGTCAGCACTATCCTTATCCCTTCAGAGCAGATGTTTTTATATTTTATTTGGCTTATAATCTTACTAAGTGTAGTATTTCGATGTACTCCGTCTTTGATATGATTTAAATCAAGTTCCTCCTCATTATAATTCGCTTCTGATAGTGAGAAAGTGACCCAGAGGTTATTGAAACGAAAACATTTCGATGACAATTGGTATTTCAACCAGCTTATAGGGACTTAAACGCGGAACTTTGTAACTAAACAAGAAATTAGTCTGTTATAGAATTAAAGAGAAAGTATTATCACTGAAACAAAGCAACGTACATTGAAAGAAATGCTACTAAAGTAAACAAATAATATTAAGCTTTTCTTTTGTAAATTTTGATACCCTTTAGATCATATTGTTCTTTATTTATAAATTATGGTTTCATATATTTAATTTGTAATTCTGCATGCCATCTACCAGATTTAAACTGATGATCTATAATCCGGAAAAATCGATAATCCGGAATCGCCGAAGTCCCGACGAGTCCGGATTAACGACTTTTGACTGTATTAATTAAATCTGCAGCATACTGCACAACTTTAATGTTTTTTTTATTTAATTTCAAATTTCTGAACTTTCGTCTGTTATACAGATTAGATTTTTTTATTTCTAGAAATCTCTATGAAAAGTTTTCGTTTTCTTGATATTAAAAGTTTAGGTTAGCATAATCGGGAACCCCCCAATTTTTGAGTGTTGTTTAAATGGCAACTGGATTTAAAGTATATTTGTTTAGCTCTTTATTTGTAATTGCTTTTGAATCTCATATTTACATATAATGTTTTTAGACCAGTTTGTTTCTTTGAATGGTCAATTTGCATAATGTAAAGTTTTGTGGGTTTTTTTTTAGTGGTCAATTCGGCACAATGTAATGTTTTATTCTTTTTTGCAAGTGTTTTGAAAGCATGTAGGTAAAATTCTGGATAAATTTGAGATTATATTTTTCGGTTTTATATGAATTTTTATGTCTTAAATGAAAATGTAATTGAATCTTTTTTTTTCGGGGGGGGGGGTGATCTCGAATAAATCAGGAGAACAGAACATGTTTTCAAAACATATTAATGACCTTTTAATGAAACTTAATTCATTTTTTTCCCTGATGAGTTCTGAATTGGAGTTCAGTAATAGGAATTATTTTTATATTTTTTAAACTTTGTATAAATTTTTCCTTTCTGCATTTTACTTTTTCGCGAGTTTGTTCTCTATGAATTCTATTTTAAGTTGATATGTTTAGATATTGGTTAATCTCTTTACATATTGCAATTATTAAGTTGTCAGAGATACCTACTTGATCAATTAATTAACTTTAGATGCTTTATTTATATATATATATATATATATATATAATCAAAGTAGTAGTTTTAAATCCAATATTCAGAAACAGCTATTCCATTTGCTTCTCTCAATACAGCAACTCCCTGACGATGAAGGGTTGAGAGATGTAAATTTTGTATACATATTTTTTTATTATTATTATTTTCACTGTGTTTTTATTTGCACCAATTATTGGACACAAATTATTTTATGCATTTTTAAGCATTTATTGCACTACTGATCTAATTTCTGGACTCATATTTACTCACAGTGGTTTGTAGCTTAAGCAAGCAATTTTACTTTTTTATTTAGATGCACCAAAGTATATATGTATTGGATTCAAGTGAAATAATACAAAAAATGCAATAAATCAATTTTACAAAAATATAAAACACCAAATAATCATGTCTAGCATTAATTAGGATTAATGAACTGCATAATTGCAAAAAAAAAAAGGGGGGCGCTCAAAATATAAATACAGAACGGACATACACAAAAACAGGGAATTTACATTTCTTGGTATACTATCTTCAGAAGTTGAATGCAATGAAGGAAGTAAACAGAACAGCCTGTTTCTGAACTAACAATGACATAATTATTCTAAATTTTAAAACTTAATAAACAACAAAAAACTATAAAACAATTTGTTTCTTCATCAGCTCTGTTTAGGCTGGAGTAAGATGGGCATTTTGCCCACTTTCTAACAAACCTAAAAAAATCACTAAAATCAAAAGCACTGCAAAAAAAGCATCAGAACCTTCCATTTTTATTTAAATAAACAAATACGAATCAATTTGAACAGAAACTTATTCATTTGTTTTGTATTTATTTATTACATATATACATATATATGTCAGATATAAAATATTAAACAAAAACAAACTAATAACTAATGTGGCAAGTCCCTTTTATTTCTCATCTTAATTTCGCTACGTCCCTTTCCTTTCCAAAAATTACTAACAGTTTAAATTAATTACCAGCAGTTTCTTACAATTAATCTGTTTCATGCTTGCTTATGTAATCCTGCAATGCAACTATGTTACTCTTATCTAATCACAGATCAAAATTTCAGCAAAGTACCGACTTTATACAATTTTGTATTTTGCACTCACAGATGAATAGTTTAACATTTCAATATTATAAAAATGTATTGCTCAAAACATTATAAATTAATCATTTCCAAAGCTGTTTACGTGTATTTTATCTATTTCATAACAGTATTTTATAACATGTGTTATTTTATGTGGTGAATGTCATAAATAAAGTAGATTAATCATTTGCATAGCTGCTTTTTTTTTTTTTTTTTTTTTTCCATTAATCATTTGTACAGCTGTAGAATAGCTATACAAAATTTAAGCATGTGGGGTGCTTATTGCACTCAATGATAGCGATTGAAATGTAGCCAAGCCTGACCAGAATAAATCTATCTTGTTATGTCACATCGCCATTCCTCTATTATGTATCTACAATGCTACCGCTGTTACCAAGTCAATATAAAGAGTCATTCTATATGTGCAGTAAAAAATCATCATAATAATATATACATTAAAGGAGTATTTTTTCTGTGTCTAAAATTTGAGAAACAATTATTCTTTAATTTACCTTTTCTTATTTTGATTAATTAATCAAGAATAATCTCATTGTAAAACTAGGAAAAAAGACTATTCTTTCATTAATCACTGAGGCTATTATTTTATGATTTTCTTAAAAAGCAAATATTTTAAATAAAAAACCACAGCTCAAATTTTTTCACCACTTGAGCAGCACAAGTGATATCATCTTTCTTATATTATAACACGGCCTGTAGAAAAATATCTGATTTAAATAAATGTATTCCAAGTTATTAAAAAAATTTAAAATGAAAACTGACTTTAGTTAACACTGATTTTGGAAATGACAAACATCATTTGAAAAGCTCATTTTGCTGCTAAGAAAAACTTTCACATATTCTCTTAACGCACAAAATGTTTTTCTAAGACTTAAACAACTGACATGATTATTTAGAATTTACGATTTTTAGAATTTTAGTTATTTTAGAATTTAATATTTAATTATTATTAATTTTAACTATTGAAATTTTTAAGATGAAAAATTATAAAGAATTAATCAAAACTTAAAAATTAGATCCATAAGCCTAAAATACCTGTCAGTACAATGTAATGATAACACATCTTTGAAACTTAAAAATTGCCATTAAGTAATCTCTGCTTATATTAGATCTTACTAAGAAAGATTCACTCACTCTCTCTCTCTCTCTTTCTTTCTTTTTTTTTTTTTTTTTTTTTTTTTTTTTTACATAAGAACATTATTATATGAAACACATTTAAAATATATAAAATGAAACTGTCATAAAAATTAGCTACAAAGAAATGAAACAATTAATAGGCTTAAAAGCCTACTTTATTAATGACATTCATCATATAAAATGTTATGACAGATTGGAATGATTAATTTATCTGTGTTGACTTCATTTTTAACTGAAGATAATTTAAAGATCTTATATGCCATTAATTGGCAAAAACTTCTACTTATTGCATTAATAAACCTGCTGAAGAGATTTTTTTAAGATGTTTCATATTAATATACCTTTTAAGATACATAATTTATTTACTAAAGAAATATTGATTATATTATCTCTTAATATAAATTTAATAGAATGTATAACTTGCTGAAGAGATTTTTTAACAAAATTTTTGGAATTCAGGGAAGTGTCAGAGGGCAAATTTTAGAAGCCACAGAGATTGCATTGGGAAGCAAAATGCATAATGTCAACCCTGACCCTATCCACAAAACAGTACAAAGTCTAAGATATGGAACAGTCAAGCCTTCAGTGATCCTGGATTTTAAATCATTAGTTTAAACCTAGAAAGATGACGCATAGGCATGGCAACATTGCGACTTCACTAACTGGTTAAGTCAGAAGAATCCTAACCATCACAGGGCCAGCACCACAGCAGGTGAACCTGATGCAGCCACACTGGTTTTCAGAATTTATGGGCAGCAAAAATTTTAGAATTTAGTGGAGCACCAAGCAGTAAAAATTAAAGATAGCAGAATTTTTAGAATTTAGGAGAGGCACTTGGCAATGGAATTTATGGGCAACAAAATTTTTGGAATTCAGGAAAGTGTCAGAGGGCAACTTTTAGAAGCCATAGAGATTGCATTGGGCAGCAAAATGCATAATGTCAACTCTGACCCCATCCACAATGGCTCAAGGGCCAAAGGTAAGATCCTGGCCAACATCAATCCAATGTCTAGTTACTGGCACCAGCCCACAAGTGTCTAAAAGTGGTTTGTATGAATATCACTTGCTCCAGAGAAAAACCACATTTACGGCACACCTGCTTTCTGTTTTTTCTGAGTTTCTCCCTTTGTAAAGGGGAGGATTCTTTTTTAATACTTAATTTATTTATTTTTCAGCTAATGATCCTCAGGCTAATGATATTGAACGTCCATATTTCTGACTTCGTACTACATTAATAAATTTGCTGAAGAGATTTTTTAAGATGTTTCATATTAATATACCTTTTAAGATACATAATTTATTTACTACGAAATTGATTATATATCTCCTAATATAAATTAATATATGTATCAAATGAGGAATGTAGAATAGAAGTTATTCGAAATTGCTTTGTAAAGAAATTGAATTGATCATGAAAAACTTTTTAAGAGAGCTTGAATTTAATCTGAAAAGATTGAAAGGAATTTGAATTTAAATCATGACTAACAGAATTCAAACTTAAAAGAAATAAATAACCAATAATAAAATATTATATCTTACTCTATCAGCTTTGCCATGTATTAAAAACTTGTTTTTGAATTTCAAGACTTTATTCATTCAATATTTTAAGATACTTATATATTACCAAAAGTAATATATAACTATATATACCTTAGGAGAATTCGCCAAATTTTCAGAATGTTCCAAACCCTGGCAATCTTTCAAAATATTCTTCAGCAACCATGCTCATAGCAGTCCTGTAGTTATGCAATGTTGTCATTTTCATATGCATTGTTTTCAATATTTTTCAAGTTCTAGTGGGTTTTTTTTGACAAATTGTGACATTTTTTACTGTCAACTCGAAGTATGTTTGGTGAATTTACCATCAATGGAAGAATAAAAAAGTTCTGCAGGAATATAGTATTTTCTCACAAAATCACTAAAGGGTACAACGTTGAAATGTATTTGGTAGCTAGCCAGTACAACGTCAATTTCTTCTTCTTCAATGTTTTTTTAAAGCAAAAACAGATGAATGTGCACATGGACAGAAGAACAACACTAAAAAATTAGATAAGCATTTCATGATAAACGCGTTTTATTTTTTAATGTATCGTATTCTTCTGATTTAATAATTTTTATTAAAAAAAATTTTAAGTACTTTTCCTTTTCATATAGCGATAGCATTGTGATATGAAGCTTGGAAATGTTTTTTAAGAAATTCACAAGATCACACTCGACCTTACAAGTAATTTTTACATTGTCATTTCAAAAAACTGCCAATGATTGCTATGCCCATTTTCAATTTTGCTTACATATCTGTACCAGAAGAAAGAAAAAAATTTAAGAAATATATTTAAGTTGAGTATCGTAGCAAAATGACTATATGTATTTCTACAATTTAAATATTAAAAAAATCAATTGAAAACTTTTAGATAAAATTAGCAAATCATCAAAATAATTGTCTGCACTCATGTCCAGTCCATTACCTTGAGATTATTTTACCCAGCTAGTTTGTAAATTTGCCTAAAGGGTCAGTAATATCGAAGAAGTCAAACTTAGCTCGACTAGTTTATGTATGTCACTACATATGTACTTCCCCTTTGAGAGAGATTTACAACCTAATTTTGGGTAAAATAATCTCCAGGTAATGCACTCAACATGAAGTGGAAGACAAATTATTTTTCTATTGACTTGTTAAAAAAAAAAAAAAAAAAAATCTGTAATTAATTTTTATCTTAAATATAACACAATAATAGTTCATATTTTAAATAATTAAGCTTCTATATTTAAAAAAATAAATTAGGTCACAAAACAAAGAGGTCAAATAACAGGAAACTCGAAAAGGACAGTCTTTTTTGCCTACGATCACACATTTTAAGATTTCTATCTAAAAAATTCAACTGACTTTTTTATATTTTGAACTGTAGAAATATCTTTATAGTAGCCACCTTTATGCAATGTACTGCTCAAATTAAACTTTAAATATTAATTTATCTTGAAATTTCTTTCTTTTCTTCTATGACAGCATATGTAAGCAAAATTTGAAAATGAGCCTAATACGTAAGTGCCCATTTTAATAATGAATGAAGCATTCAAAAATAATAATGAGGTCATTTATTGACTCACGTGGGGCAAAGGTGAAGCCGCTACTGATGGCTGGACCGCTACATTCTGAGGGGGAGTATGCGAGGCTGCAGACTGGGCCAACATGACGGCGCCTGCAGAGACGGGAGTTCCAGTTCCAGACCTATTGGGAGCTACAGAAACTGAAGCTACAAATGGCACTGTCGCAATGCCATATGAAGCTCCAGATTCACAAGGAACACTAGCTGAAGCTGACTGAGTTTGACACTGAACTTCCACATCCTCAGATCCCATCATTAAGCTCAATTTTCAGTACAGCACACTGAAAAACAAATACAAACAGATTTCTACACACATACAATCATAAATTAAAAAAACACAATTAAAAAAAGAACTAATAAAGCAAAATCTGGATTTTGATGAAATATGCATTTTATTTTCAGTTTTAGAGTATTTTCTTCTTTTAAAGCCTTTTTTAAATTTTAGAGCAGCAATTCTATTGGTACGCGTACCACTGGTGGTACACAACAGAAAAATAGGTGATACACAAGAAACAAAATATTTTTAAACATTAAATCAAAAAATCTCATGAAGAAAAAAAACAACTGATAAAAATTTCCTGTGATCGAACTCTAACTGAAGATTTCAAAAATAACACACTCGTTACTTTTGGCCTAACCAAAAAAAAAAAAAGAATTTAAAGGCATTTCAAATTAAACTATTAAATTCTTATTGTTTTTTTGCACTTGTTATTTTGCACAACCTACTTGTGTGAACAAAAAAATTTCTTCCATGTTTTATTTGAAAAATAAATACAGAAAAAAATTAAAAGTGGATTCTAACTTACAGTTAAAACTAAGTGAAGTAAGGTATAAAGAAACTGATCTCTTAAACAAGCCTAAATTTCATAATAAATTTATAATTAAAGTATTATAACTTAAATCTTAATTAAAATAGTAACCAATTTTTAATCTAATATTTTTTTATACATGCACATTTAATACAAATAGCTAATAGGTTGTGCAAATAGAAAAATATTTTTTTTTTTAATATTTCTATTGAGAAATTGAAAGATAATGATTGTAAAATGTAGTGGTGGTACAAAAGTTTTTCAGTTTTTTTAAAATGGTACACGTTAGTCAGAAGGTTAAGAACCGCTGCTTTAGAACATTTCTGGGGCTTTCAAGGCATTTTGGGGGCATTTCAGGACATTCTGATGCATATTCCAGTAACCAAAATGAAAATAAAGTAACCCTTGAAATAACACTATGTCAACTCCTATGAACTCATTTTCACTAGGAAGACATGCATAAAACTGATTATGTACTCAATTAGTCCTACCTATTCCTGCAGGCTTTTTACACAGGTTTGAGTATCACTTCTGAGAATTTTTCCATACCAATTCTTTAAGAATACCGGCTCTGAGCTCTTTAAAAAATTTTATACATGTCCAGTTTTATATGATTACATGTAGAAGAGGAAAAGCTATTGCACAGAGACATTCTCGACCATTCTCGGTGTTACAAAATCACAGCATACGTTTCTCCTACCTCAATGGAAATCCCTTTTATTTTCTTTTTTTGATCAGCTAATATAGTCCATTGGTGGTATGTTGCTAAATGACTTTGGAGCTTTCCATTTTTAAAAATGGGCTATTGGATTAGCAAAGTCATGACAAAAGATGTTTGACGATCTCACTTTTTGCAGGCAAAGGAAAAAATAAAAATGAAGTAACAGGTACGCCTAATTGTTTCAGTTTTGATCCATTCATCAATGTTTATCAGTAATGTCATTTTTTTTTAATATTACTTTTTTGGAAATTCTACTTTTTAAGCACATCTCCCCCTCCCCTAGTCCAAGAGGATTTTCAACGATATTTTTAGATAATCAAAATCTGGGCCTTGCTTATTAGAAATTAATTATGTTTCCAAATTAAAACTCAAATCAATATGATGGCTAATTAACTACCGATTTATATATATGAAATGGTATGTTTTTATATTCTGAAAAATTTCTAAAAGTACAACAGAGTTGCCTGCAACATTTAGTATTTAATAATTTGTAAAGGACTACATTTAATATTTAGTGTTTAGTAACTGTGAATGGTAACAGTTTGGATATATGTAAAAACAGAACTATGTTAGCATTACAGTGGTCTGTTATGTATAACGGTCTAGGCGTATAAACAGTTTAAACAAAATACAATGTCTAATTTTATCTTCAAATCCTTCATTAGCAGAATGATTAATTTTCAAACAGGATAAAACCATATACGAGCAATAATGAAACTGATTTTGCTGAGACAGATAATTTTATTGGTTCAGTTGCCTGGCATAAGATTGCATATGACACTTCTTTCTCAAAAGGTCAGTAGAAATTTAACCCCCCAACAATTGCTTGGTGGAGTTGGTTTGGGAAGCAATTAGTTCAGATGTTGAAGAAGATTTTGAAGAGAATTTTAAGAAAAGCTTCATTTTATTATGAAGAGATGTTTACCATACTTTGTGGCATTGAAGCCATCATCAGTTCTAGACCACTGACTTATTTATTAGATGATCCAAACAATTTAACTCTACTGACACCTTCAATGTTTATTCAAGTGACATGAATGGTTGGAGTTCACCACTTAGATAATTCAGATAAAGTAAATATCTCTAAGAGATATAAGTATCAACAAAAATTGTAAGATAACCGGAGACAAAGATTTTGAGAATATTTAAACATGCTAATCCAGAAACCAAAGAGAAATCCCCCCAAACAGTGGACACTTACCTACAATGGCACAGGCCACTACTTGGACCAGAAGTGGTAGCCATTTTATTATAGAGGCACCTAACAGGCCACCAACGCTATCTCCTATGAAAGGACAGACAATTTTACATCCAATGCCTTCTCCGGGGCCAGAAGGACCAGAAGTGGTATCCATTTTATTATAGAGACACCTAACACATCCCCACCACTACCTCCTATGAAAGGGCAGACAATTTTACATCCATGCCTTCTCTGGGATTCGAACCTGGGCCCTTCGGTATTGCAGTCAGGCTCCCCTAACCACTACACTGTCTGGGTGGCAACTACAGAGAAGTGAATTCAGACAAATAAAGTTGAGTAATATTGTTGTAAGTGACACTAAAATCCCAGTACAACCAACAAAATGATATGTGGAGGATTCTCTATAATCATGAACTGTATGGAAAATATTGGAAATATGATGAAACTGATATTGCGAGAATCTTAAAGGCATCTCGCATCAGATGACTGGGCCATGTGTTTAGATATGATGGATGCATTTCCAACCAAAAAGATAACCTTTTTTAGAATTGAGGTAGTAAGACGAGAAGGAAAGCCAGCAACTAGATGGATAGATGATGAACAAGATTTAAGGTTAATTGGAGTTAGCCGATGGAAGACTATTGCACCGAATTGGGGTCAGGTGGAGAGACAGCCTTGGCCTATAGCAGGCTGTAGAGTTATGAGGAAAGTTATGAGGAAGAAGACACTAAAAGCCACTTGACTACCCTTTAGGAAAGATTATCAAAATATTAATTTGGAAAGATAGTTGCACCGCAGTACCAAAGCTGAAAATAATAAATGGAGAACTTATATAATATATGTGACATTTATACTCATTGGAATCAGATAATGAAGATTCTACTGTTGTTAGAAACATTGGTCAGGTTGCTTCTGATAAAGATATTAAAAATCAGAAATCGGAAAATTAAGACTGTGAAAAGAAAACTAGAAGTGAAAGAAGAGTTATCAAATCTTCACGTTACAATTGACTTCTGAACTTCCTCTCTTAACCCCCTTCCCAAATTTTACACATTTTTATATTTTGTTTTTCCTTCCTATTTAGAATGTCACATTTTTTGTTCATTCGAGTTCTGATTATGTCTTTTTAATCTAAAATCATACATATTTGCCAGACTATACTACCTCCATGCAGTATTCTCTGGGCAAGGTCTTCTATGGCAAAGAAATCTATAACCTTCAGCATGCAGCTTTCACACCCTGGAGTTCTTTTGAGAGAGGACCCTATTGAAATGCATATCTTGCAAAGGAATGCTGGTGGACTATCCCAAACCAAGAGACTTGAAATTCTACATACTCTTTCTTCTTGTGATATTGAAATGTTTACAATCCAAGAGGCAAATCTTCCAAAAGAAAATCTGAAAAATCTATCCTTTTGTTGGTTACAGCCTCTATATACTACTTAAATTTAGACAAATTGCCAGTGGCATTTTAACAGCGATAAGATATCACAACAATTCACTGTTGACTCTAGAATAATAAAGGAGATGGTAGAAAGCGAGAATAAAACAGAGATTTCGGTGATAAGGCTGGTCTTTCCTTTAACAGTCTGTTCACTGTACATCCCTCCCTCCTCCAGGCCTAGACTCTTACTACTGACAGGAGAGCAATTTTAATTGGGAATTTTAATGGCCATTCAAGCAGAAGGGGTTACGATGACTCTAACGTGGCTGGAAAAGAGGTTAAGGATTTACTGAACCCAAGCACGCTTATTTTTTTTACAATATAAGCTGACCCTAAAATGTTTCTTTGTTATAATGGCACTACCACAACCCCTGTTCTCTTTTGCATCTCTGCTGATATGGAAGCCTCTGTGAAGAGGATGGTTATTGAAGATTCAGGATTGGAGCATAGACAAATTATTGCCTCGATCTGCTTACAGAAACCTAAATCTGGCTTTGGTGTCTATAAAAGGATGTTATGAAACTTCCGGAGGGCTGATTGGAGTCATTTGATTAACTTACTGGAGGAGGCCTTAGCCCTTGAACAGCTTAGGTCATCTTAATCAGTCTACGCCATCTGGACCTAGTCATGGCAATAAAGTATTAATGTCATCCTCAACAGCATCAAGCCACTTAATTGGTGGCCATCCTCATTTTCTAGCTTCCATAGGTTTGGCAAATGTCAGTTGTTTTACTGGGTTTGTGTCTGCAGTTCTGTATAAATGACCATCGAATCCGGTGGCTTTTTATGACCTTGACAATATCAGACTGTCTAAATTTTTGGTAGATTTCATGACTATACATTGATCTCCAAACACCATTTTCACAAACAGCACCAAATATTTTTCTTAGTATTTTATGTTCAAAGATCAGTAGTTTACTTTCAGTTATCTTAGTCATTGCCCAGCACTCGCAACCATATAGTATAATGGGATGCAACAGGGTTTTATGTATATTAATTTTAGTGAAGATAAATCCAGATTTGAACTGATTTTTAAGACCATGGTAGCATCTATTTGCAATAAGAAGTCTGTTATTAATTTCCATAGATAAATTATTATTATTATTATTAGTGAC